TTACGGATGCGCACTGCCGAGGAGTCCCATACCATACTGGGACGAAACGGCCATCCAGTGCTCCCAGGTTTTCCGTGATGTTCCAGCTTCAAATGATTTATGAATTCAATTATTAAATTACTAAAATCTCTACAAACCCCTCTTCTGATAACAATATAGGATTGTTTAAAACAACCGTAACATTACTTTTTTTTGATTATTGAAGTGAAAAATTTCAGTCCAAACTAACCGCTACAATTGTATGGAACTATATTCTTTTGTTGTCTTTTATTTAAGAAATAACAATGTTACACAGTTTGATTAGTTTAAAGAATTCCACTACCAATTACTTCATGAACTATAATAATGTATGTATAAATGTATGTTTAGTTCGGAGACTAGTTGTTCTTTCTTATTTATCTAATTTTCTTAGCTTTTAAATAAATAAACTTTTTCCCAGATTTTTTTGTTTGTGTTTAATTACTCGTGTTTTCTGCTTCGTTTAATTATAGTCTAATCAGTTGTCCAATCTTATCAGAGTTGTTGTTATCAATGGAAATACAGGTACGTGGTGTTGGTTGTTGTTCGACTGTCTGACAAGCCTGGATTTGAGTTGTGTCTTACCTAAACAACGAAATATAGGCTGAGACTTTAACCAAGTACATAGCTGAGGTCTTGTTTGTCATCTACCACCTACTGTCTGACATTGAGATGGCATATGGACATGGGCATTTAATATATTTGGATTCTGCAAGATTATCAATGTCTCGGTTCCGTTGAAGAGCTGTCAACCAGATATGTTTGAGTTCCAATGTGTTATTGTTCGTTACGAGACTCAAAAGTCGTACCCATATATATAGCTATTGACAAACGAGGAGCTTCTGTTTAACACACTAAATAAAAAAATTCACCTCTGTGATGCTGAAATTGTGACAAATTATAAGATAGTATAGCACATACCAACTCGTCATCGTACCAAAACAATCTAACCGCACTAAGATTGTGATACAACTTCGAAAATAAAGGAAAACAGAGTCACTGCATACTAAATTTAGATTGAGATATCCCATAGTAACGAATAGGAATTAGTGAATCTTAATAGCTCGACACTATACACTATGTGGACACATTACGTGATTGGAGATAGTCGTCAGGAAATCGTGTATCTATGATTTGCGCTGGTTGAAATTTATCAGTAAGTATTATATTTGATCTTATTGAAAGGAGAGTTACTACCTGTAGGATTCGAACCCGCTTCACTAAGCTTCATCTAACATCTAATCTCCAGTTTATGTACAAACACGCTTTCTGCGAACAAATTCTCTAAGAATTATCATTCAATGATTAGAAATGTTGAAAGCTGGATTATGATTCAATGGTTGAAAAGTGCAATTCTCGACGATAGACCTGAATTCTATACAATTTGGAAATATATGTACATACATTATTTAAGTGTAGCTACATAAAATAGCTTTACAACGATTACTGGTTTTTCTAATAGTTTAAGGCCTAACAACAGTACTCATTATTTACTATCTGTAATCAAATTGACTCAATATCTTAAATGACAAATTTTGTTTGAGTCCTAAAAAAATCAATGATGAAAATTGAAATAATCATTTCGGTAGAAACACTAATATACACCATAGAATTATTTAGTCGGTCAAAGAAATAGGAAATAACTCAATTTGTCTATAAATCCGAAAATTCATTTATTTATTTGTTGAGGTAAGTATCCACACATGCACACACATACACATCTACATATACATACATGCATATATATGTATGCAAGTAAGTAGTGTTTGGAAAACAACTAGTAATATTCCATTTTTATTATTAAAATTCAACCGAAGGTAAACTGTAATTAAAAGAAAAACATAAAATAAGTTCAAGGTGGACGACAACAAGGAGGTGGTTATGAAGACAAGGATAAACACCCGGTAAATCCAAACGGTAATTGTAATAATAATTTTCTTTAAAACGATTTTTGGAATAGAGGGAAAAAGACTATGTGTGAGAGAGAGAAACAGTTAGGTAAATCATCATCTCTGTGTATATGAAAAGTAGACAAAAAAACACCAACCATATTACCATTTGATAAATGTCTCATTTACTAAAAACAGAGTAAACACATGAGTACAAATTTTCTTTAAAAAAGTACTCATTTGTAATTTTGATTCATCAGCAAGAGAACAGCAGTAATTGTAGTTTTAGTTTAATCGAAAGATGAGACAGAAAACACAAAATGGGACAAAGTAGAAAAATGATGTATCATCAAATTAATTGGAAGCTACGATCAGATGCGGTACATGTTGAAGGAAATAAACAATATCATAAAATATATTTATGGAGTGTTTTATTAGGAAACTCATTGACTAATCTCTACAAAAGTAAAATATCAAAACCCGATACAAAATACACACACACGTACACCTACCTACGAAGGATGATTGTGTACCTAGTTCCCTTCTATTGAATATAAAGTAGTAGAATAGAAAAGGAACTACACGGTCACAAGAGGGGAAATATTTACTTGATATTAACAACATTGGAGGTGATTAGGGATGGTGGGTGTAGGATGTAACTGGTACTGATGTATAGATATTAGTCGAATTCGGCAGAGTAAAAAAAGGATCGAACAAATCAAGGGCTGCAAATATATATATATATATATATATATATATATATTTGCTAGTTTCATTCTGTCATCGTGTCAACTTGCATTTCGATCTTTCTCTCTGTATGTGTAAGTTAGTGCTTTGTTTAGTTTACTTGTAAAATAAATGACCAGAAAAATAGTACTAATAACAATGAGGAAATCGGAGATAAATTAGAGACATAAATGAGTAAAAGGAGTAATTTTGATGTCAGTATCAATCAATATGATTAAATAATATGGAAAAAAACTGTAGAATTCATTGAATCATACTTTCATAATTATTGTTGTTATTATCATTATGCTTACATTACATTATGTAACAAAAAAAATGAACATACTTTTCATTCAAGTCACAATGTTATCCTACAAATTTGACGATACGCACATAGATACACAGGAAGAGAAAGCGAGAGGAAAAAAGACATCACCTACCTCAATAACCGGTAGTATATATGCAGTGACAACAAGTATGCAAAAACTGAAAATAAGAGGTCATGATGAGAGTTGGACACAAAGATCATAATCATGAAGAAAACAAATCATGATTTTGGTTAGCGGGAAAATCAAAAGAAAAACTATATACGTTCACATTAGCATATACACATACATACAAAAGGACGAATAAGTCATGTAAATCTTCATTTAAAAAGTATAAATGACACTGTACACATCAAGAGAAGCAGAGGATACTTTGTAAACCTGGACGTACATGGATACATTTTAAGAATTTATTGACAACTTAAGTGTCAGTAATTCAAATCATAAAGTGAACGTAGTTACATAACAGAAAAAAAGTATAAAAAGGGAAGAGTGAGAAATAATGTGAATACAAGGGGAAATAGATGATTCATAACAACGATTTTAGTCTATCTAATTAAATAGCTTGAAAAAGTAATCGAACAAAAAAGATTAATGAAAACATACATCCAAACACTCATAAACAAATGAAAGATGACCAAACAGGAACACTTGGAAACTGCTACCATATGCATTTTAATTAATACTGATCGAATCGAAGACATGGATAATAATAATAATGATCATCATCGTCAATATGTTATCAAAATAATAATAAACCAATCAATGATGGAGACAAAAATAAAATTGGATAAAGTATTGATCGCTGACAACAGCTACAACATCAGAATATTAAACAAAATATCGCATATTTTAAGAAAATAATAATAATAACTTTTTCCCTCTACCTAATTACCACCTTTGTAAAACCAACAAAAAAAAACAAATTTCAAACATGAAAAATAAAAGCGATTCATGTGTACTTCTGCATTCTTTGTTTAGTTCGGATTTGTTCGCTTGGTTATTATTCAATACTTGTTTTAAATTAATGTAGACCATGATAGTTTCATTATTATTATTATTACTACTAAATATGCATATGTGGAAATAATAAACAAAAAATCTAATTTTGTTTAGAAATTTAGAAAAAAAACAAGTGGAGAGAGTCATGTTTTTAAAAAATGGAAGAGAAACTCATTAATTACAAAAAAAACGGTAATTCTACGCCAAATTTGAAGGCGAACACGACACATGAACAGACACACACATACAGGATAGAGACGTCAAGAAGCAACTAGACACAACAGGCAAAGAAATAAACAATAGATGAGCATTTTATTATTATTCTCATAAAGTATAAATTTACTGGTCATTTAATAGTTTTCTACCTTAAAAAGAAAATTACAGTTGACAGGTCGATTACCGCGCGCGCGCGAGAAAGAGAAAATAACTGACCATAAGGTTGGAGAAAGTTAAATCAATAGATAAAGAAATTAAGCTTGTAAGAAATAGAGAGCAAAATCTGACAAAGTTTATTTGATCGTAGTTTGGTATGTTCTGTGTATAATTTCACTTTTTATCAGAACATAAATTGGATAGTTTTTTGGTCTTCATATGTTTTTTTTGAATATAAGCATTAATTTTTTTCCATATAAGTACACACATTACTATTATTATTATCAAGGTAGTAGTATATATTTACAGTGTATCCGGTTAATCAATCATCTACACACTATGACTATAATGTCACTATATTTCCATGTGAATGTCCATTTTTCAAATATCTTTCAATTAGGAGTGAAGAGAAACAGTGGCGAACATGTAATACTATCATATTGATAATTTTATGTTGAAATTCAACACCTCCACCCAAAAAATACACGTAGAGGAAATGTACACAAAATAATCGAGAGGGAGAGAGAGATCAACATAAATGAGGAAAGAAATCACGAGAAACGTCACTATGATTATTAAACGGACAAACAACAGTAACAACAACTGACCAAAGGGAAAAAGACAACAACACAACCAAACAAGAAGAAAAATAAAGGAAATGAATTGCATAATATCTAAATATACGTATATTTATAGATTATATATCTGTTTGATTAGTTGGTTAGTTAGTTGTAAAATATAAATTTTCAGATTAAGTCATAGTGGACGTGGATAGATTGAATGTTCCTACGGATTGATGATTATAGGTTGTCCTTTTTTGATTTATTAGGTGTTATTGTCCTTATAATTGTTTTATTTTGTAATGTTGAACTACTACTACTACTAATAGTAGGAGTAGTAGTACTAGGAGTTTTAGTAGTATTGGTTAAATCATTTTTATTTGATTTTGTTGAATCAGCAGAACTAGTCGACTGGTAGGCATCACTTGATGTGTTGGTTATATCAAGTTGATCAGTTAATTTTGTTGATCTGAGATCATTAGCAGTATTGATTTGTTGTTTGAGCTTTCTCCTATCATTTTTGGCTTCAGTATCATCATCACCAACATTATCGTCATCTGATGAGTGTTCTTCACAAATCGATGGTGGTTTTGGCATTGGTTTTTGTGAGCTGGGTGTAAGTAGAGAATCATTATCATCGTTTACAAGTGGCTCACGATTAATGATAATATGTGAATCAGACAATTTATTTTCTAGTTCATCATTTGTATTAATTGATGTTGTGGAAGAATATGGCCAACATCGCTTAGAATTCATATCTAAATGTGGTGGCATTCGTTCATTGACTTTGTCAAATGCTTTCGCTTCTTCAAAACATTGAATTTTATGCGGTGTCCATGTTCCAGAAACAGCTATGATGTAAAAAAACATATATGTGTTAAAAATTACGATTGTGAAAGACAGAACAACACATATAAGTAAACAATATTGTTCATCAATAAGATCACAATCAGAATTTATTCTTAAATACTTGAATATTTATATGTTAACATTAAACCAAGTTAGGTAATATTTGTAGGATAAAGGATAGAACCCCATTAGGAAATGACGAAAGTATACAACAGATCATTCGAAATGACTTGGCTTGATGACTGTTAACTAGGTGCCAAGATACAGCTACGTATTGTCCTTTTCTAGCCATTTAAAGACCAAACTGAAAAACGTTCACTCATTCGTTGATTAAGTTACGTGATAGAAGAAAACTTTCTGGACAGTCTCATCTTCGTCATTATGTATACTATCAATAAACACTTTTTTTATAGAAACATCTGAACAGACCTTTTAAGCTCTGTTTGTGGGACATTACACTGGATATATATATATATATATATATATATATATATATATAACGAATTGTCTTTGTTTATTGTTATAAGTGGTTTGGGACATTGTGGAATTTCCATAATTTACATCACAAACTGATCCTATTTAAATAACCAGGAAGCTCTAGACAGTTGTTTCATTCTGGTATGAGACTTATCAGCAGTGTGCATTCACGATCCAACCTATTGACGATCGAACCCAGGACACTGAGTTCTAACGGAGATTCTACCAATGCGACATTCAATGGTGTCAATACTTAGTTGTGTTTTTTTTAAATCACCAGCTTATAAGCAACGGAATTTTTTATCCAAAACAATTAAACCCGTTTTATAGATTTTGTTAAGGTAATGAGAAGACATAGACCAAAATAAAAAATTAAACTAGAATAAAACCTTTTTGTGAAAATTACTCCAAGTCAAATAGAGATTTCGTCATTAATTTGATATCAGCTTGGAGAACTGTTGAAAACTAAGGAATACAAGACAACCGTTTCATTTGGTTTTTTTCCCATTCTACAGAAATGCGTAAAGAATCCAATATATCTCATTTTTCCAGTTCAGTTAATTTACCGATAATAATAAAAAAAATTACTATCCGCCCAACAGTTATATCGATTTCACTTCAGATATGCACGTGATTTAAACTCTAAGTAATCAATCTAATCTGTCATTAAAATCAATAATCTAAGTCACACGTAACTCATTATTAAGAGTTCAAACAAAAATAGTACTAATCAATAGAATAAAAAAAAGTTTTATGAAGGTTTTTTTCATTGTTCCTCAATAGTTAATGCATTTGGTAAATTGAATAGTCGAGATACTGACGTCCTAGATAACTCGTAAACTCTCACAATCGACCGCATTTAAAACCCAAATAGAAACAGAAAGCGGAGATATGAATGAAACTTTACTCCCAAAGTTGGTTTATATACAAAATAAGGGATATTTGTAAGACTACAGATGGCCTCAGAATTCAGTAATCCGTTAAAAATGACTGATGATTAATCAGAATGGATTTTGTGGAGATTTCAGTATTTTCATAGTTGAAGTTATGAGTCAATTGAAGCTAGACCACCAGGGAAAAACTGGAAGCACTGGACGGCCGTTTCGTCCTATCGTGGGACTCCTCAGTGGCAGTACGCATCCACGATCCCGCCTCACGTGATTCGAACCCAGGACCTCCCAGTCTCGCGCCAGAGAGCCTAACCACTAGACCACTGAGCCGACATGCAGTGCTAACAGGTTTTCTATGGTGGTCTAGCTTTAATTGACTCATGATTTCAACTATGATAAATAATTTTCCAATCAGATTTCAGTAAAGCATAATGAGTCGCTTTCTAGATATTTTTTTAGGAGATATCGAGATCATTAATTGGTCAAAGTAATTTTGTGCATTTTTACCAACTTCTAATTTGCATAGGATACCTTTCGATTTCACCGTATTCCAACCAACAGTAGAACATTTTCTTCAGAAGTTTCAAGTCATATACATTAATCGAAATCTATAAATTTTAACACTTTTCATTAACTAAACGCAATTTTATAAACATGGCTTGCGTACAAAAAAGTGACATGTTGCAATCACTGATCCTATAGAAATGAAAAAAAAGTAGAAATTTCCACCCAATATTACAATAGATTTGATTATACCATTGAATCATGTGTTCCGATATTTGATTAAAACATGAATAATAATACTGCACAATCAATAGGTCAGTCTGTTTATCTGATCAGTAAAATTGGAACAATTTTTAACAGAGAATAAGAGAACAAGCAAACACATGTATCTAGTGTACGTACATTTATGTATTTATTTCAAGGGGAAAATTATTTTCCACTAGGCTAAATCTCTATTTCTCTCCTTAAAACATTGACAGAAAAATGAAATTAATATGATAATGTGATCAATATGTTCTAGAAGAGAGAGAGAGAGAGAGAGAGAGAGAGAGAGATAAGGAGAGAGAAAGACAGAAAGTACATAAAGGAATTCAGATTAGTAATTATATATGTCTTCATTTATTTCTATCCATTTATGTATATATAATTACGTTTACATAACTTAGTCAAATTTATCTTTTTAATCTGACCTTAAGATTTAAAATTATTAGAAACAAATAAAATCTAGAATCATAAATATCGACAACCATTTGCTTTAATAAAAAGAAACAGTAGACAAACAATACTCTGAAGGAAAAAAAAGTTTCAATTGTTTATTTTCCAAAAATAAACAAACAAACAAACGGGAATTAATTAGTTAACCAAATTAAACAATTTATCTATCTAATTATAGATTATAGGTCTTCGGCTCGAGACTGGTAGATCCTGGGTTCGAATCTCGCGAGAGCGGGTTCGTGGATGCGCACTGTTGAAGAGTCCCATAATAGGACGAAACGGCCGTCCAGTGTTTCCAGGTTTTCCATGGTGGTCTAGCTTCAATTGACTCACGCTTTTAACTATAATTTATTTATCTATCCATCTACTTATTAATGCTCATTCGTTCTGTAAAAAAGTTATGCAAAATAAAAACAAATTAAAAATTGTTGAAAGCGTGAGTCAATTGAAGCTAGAACACCAAGGGAAACCTGGAAGTACTCGATGGCCGTTTCGTCCTATTATGGGACTCCTCAACAGTACGCCGTCCAGTGATTCCAGGTATTCCCTGGTGGTTTAACTGCAATTGACTCACGCTTTTAACAATGAAAATGCTAAATCTCCACAAAAACTCCTTCTGAAAAATAAAAAGCGCAAGTAGACAGTTTTTTTCAATAGAGGAGATATCTATTCTGTTGTGTGTCGAGAATGCTGAATTTGAAGTTTCATATTATGAATTGATTTAGATTAAATGAACTAATTAAAGTCAACGAGTATAATACAGGCACATTTCGTTGTAGTATAGTACTGATTATTATTATTATTAGTGACTATTTGCAAGAAGTGATTCACGGAACTCTAGTAAAAAGTCATGATTAATGGAATTTAAACATATAAGTTAGTAAGATAGCTACTTTCATTAATGACGATGGATGATAATAAAGTAATATTAAGCATTGATTAAAATTCGTCTCGTATCAGTATGAAATCTATCTTTAAAAACTTTGTTTTGTTTTCAATAGTGGTCTAACTAAGATCATAATCTTCATAATCATTATCTTTTTAATATACAAGTTTTTCAAATTTGAAAGTTATTTCATCAAGGACACAGTTAAACAAAGTGTACAATTCGTTTGTAAACTGTATTCTACAATTCGGTTATGAGATTTACTCACTATAAATAGATTACGTTATCAGATAATTACATGCGGAGGTAATTCAAAAAATACTCATCTGGTCGTTCGATCGATAACTGAGCTGATTGAAACTTGTTCACTTTTCATGCTACATAGTTATTTATTGATATCGGCGTAGGACGAAACTATTGCTTAATGTTTCCTGATTTACAATCATTTACCAGCTGATGTCAGTTGGTAACAAAGACGATCTGAAAACTAATACATTTTTATGCAAGCAATAAGAATTATCATGTGCTAATTAAAAAATTACTTCAAGAAATATTTTTTGAAGTAGTACTGAGGTGTGACCATTGGAGTTTAACTATATTGAAAGTGCTAAAAATATCATTGAAGGCAATGAATCACTGTTGAGCAATATATAGAACTGACTGGAGTTAGAAATATAAGCCACCAGATATCACCACAATGATCTGAAGGTTAAGTGGAAGCTATAAAACGTGAAGGTCTTGGATTCGATCTCCAATGAGTGCGGTCGTAGATGTGCACTGATGGAGAGTACCATACAAAAACTAAGGTCATTAATCGCATCAAACTGCTTACACTGAAAATTATATATATAATTGTGATATTGAAATCATATAATTATAATTATCTTACTAATAATTCTATATGTTCTAGCGAACTACAACATTAAAGCAACAGCCATTAAGATAATGAAAAATAAAGAAAAGCAGAAAAGAGGAATGGGAAGGAAGTAAAAAATCAACAGTTTGGTCACTAGGACAAATCTATCATAATTGATAATAATTAGAACTGGACTTATTATAATGTCAAGAAATTGTTTACATTGATATATATATATATATATATATATATATATATATATATATATATAATGTTATATATAATAACATATTATATATGTATATAAGTCCGCACATTAATGCACATGCATACACACCTTGAAATCAGTATTTACAAACTATATACAAATACATATACATACATACATCCATAAGTACATACACACACTCCACTTGAACTTAGAAACAATTGACTCTCTGATGATCTAATTATTATTAGATCAATAAAAAGCATAAGGCTAATATGTGTGAAATAGGAAGAAGAGGAAAGAGAACAGAAGAAATAAATAAATAAGTAAATATCAGAACGGGTTTTGTGAAGATTTTAGTAATTTATAGAGTTGAGATCATGAGTCAATTGAAGCTAGACCACCATGGAAAACCTGGAAGCACTGGACGGCCGTTTCGTTCTATTATGGGACTCCTCAGCAGTGCG